ATTTCCTTCCTTCCGTCTACTCTGGGCTTTTCTTGTTATTTTTCTAGTTCTTTTATTTGTAGGATTAGATTGGGTTTTTTTTTTTTTTTTTTTTTCAGATTTTTCTTGCTTCTCGAGGTAGGCCTGTAATGCTATGATCTTCCCTCTTAAGACTGCCCCCACTGTGTCCCATAGATTTGGGTTGTGTGTTCATTTAAATTTGTTTCCAGATAATTTTTTATTTCTTTCTTGATCTCATTGGTAACCCATTCATTGTTTAATGACATGCTACTTAGCCTCCATGTGTTTGAAAGTTTTTTTTTTTAATTGTAGTTGATTTCTAGTTTTATGCTTAATAAAATTTCAACCTTCTTGAATCTGTTCAGACATATTTTGTGTCCTAACATGTGGTCTATCTTTGAGAATGTAACACATGCACTTGAGAAGAATGTATATTCTGCTGCTTTGGGATAAAAAGTTCTGTAAATATCAATTAAATCCATCTGACCCAGTGTATCATTTAAGGTCACTATTTCCTTGTTGATTTTTATCTAGAAGATCTATCCAGTGATGTCAGTGGGGTGTTAAAATCCCCACTATGACTGTATTTCTGTTCATTGCTCCCTTATAGTCCACTAAGACTTTATATATATATATATATATATATATATATATATATATATATATATATATATATATATGCTCCTATATTGGGTGCATACATCTGTACCAGGGTTATATCCTCTTGTTGGATTGATTCCTTTAGTGTTATGTAGTGTTCTTTGTCTCTTGTTATGACCTTTGTTTAGAAGTCTATTTTGCCAGATAGAAGCACTGCTACCCCAGCTTTTGTTTTGTTTCCATTTGCATGGAATACTATTTTCCAACTTTTCACTTTCAGCCTGTGTGAATCGTTTGTTCTGAGGTGGGTCTCTTGGAGGCACCATATATATATAGGGTAATATATATTAAAGAAAATATAATATATATATCATATTTTTTTATCAATTCAGGCATCCTATGTCTTTTAAGTGGAGCGTTTAATCCATTTAAATGGATTAAGTAGGTATTTATTTATGACCATTTTTAAAAAAGATTTTATTTATTTATTTTTAGAGAGTGGGGAAGGGAAGGAGAAGGAGAGGGACAGAAACATCAGTGTGTGAGAGATGCATGCCTCTTGCATGCTCCCAACTTGGGGACCTGGCCTACAACCAAGGCATGTGCCCTGACTGGGAATGGAACTGGCGACCTTTCAGTTTGTAGGCCAGCACACTGAGCCATACCATCCAGGGCGCTATTACTTTCTTTAGGACTCTGTTCTTCTCTCTTTCTACTTCTTCTTCTCAAAGCAGTTCCTTCAACATTTCTTGCAATGCTTGCTTGGTGGTAATGAATACCTTTAACCTTTTTCTGTGTGTGTCTGGGAAGCTCTTTATTTTACCTTCAATTCTAAATGATTATTTGCTGGGTGGAGTAGCCTTGGTTTCAGATCCTTGCTCTTCATGACTTCGAGTACTTCATGCCAATCCCTTCTGGCCTGTAGTGCTATTACTGCACCCAGCCAGTAACGGGGAGGGGTTCCTACTGCGGGCCGCCAACCAAGCAAATCCGCAAAGACAGAGTGTGGTGGGAAGGAAAGGGATCTTTTTTTTAAATTGTTGTTCAAGTACAGTTTTCTGCCTTTTACTCCCTTCCCAGCCCCCCCCCCCAGTGCTCCCCACCTCCCTCCCATTTCCACCCTCCTTAGTTGTTGTCCATGTGTCCTTTATACTCGTTCCTGTAAATCCTTCCCCTTTTCCCCCTGAAATTCCCTCCCCTCTCCCCTCTGGTCACTGTTCCTCCTGCTCTCTATTTCAGTGTCTTTGGTTTTATTTTGCTTACTTGTTTGTTTTGTTGTTTAGCTTCCTATTAAAGGTGAGATCATATGGTATTTGTCTTTCAACACCTGGCTTATTTCACTCAGCATGATGTGGAAAGGGATCTTTTATTTAACAATTATAACAAAGGTAAAGGGGGGAAAAACAAAATAGCTATTTAAATATTTATAATTATATAATTGGAAGTAATGGCAAGTTTCTGCCTAAAATATATGGGTAACCAAAGTAAAGGGAAAGAAAAAATTCAGAATGTGACATCGAAAATAGCTATTTAAATATTTGTCATTACAACTACTACATAGGTTCAAGAACTGAAAAAAACACAAGAACAAAAATCTGTGTACAGTGCTATTATCACCAAGGTCTTTGAAAATCATGGCAAGCTTCTGCCTGAAAGCTTGTCTCCTCTAGGACACCCAAAGAAAAATCACCCTGTCACCCTATGTCAGCCCAGTTCAAGGTTGCACCAGGAGCCTCTTTTCCCAGCCCAAACTATCATAAACGTAGGTGGCTTAGCTGGTTTCCAGTCACTGCCCAGCTTCGGGCATCTTTGGAGTTTGTGTGTCCAGGCCTCCCACCCACGGTGCTCTGTCCTCTCTCTACCATCGCTCACAGATCTGCCCTGGCTCCCATTGGCCTGCTCCACACCAGAGGAGGGGCGCAGGGACTGCCGTGGGGGCGTCTGGGAAACAGGTCTGCACAGAGGAGGAGGCGCATAGGGCCTGCCGCTGACAGTCCGCCCTCGGTTGAGCTGCCAAGCCTCCTCCCCCTCCCTCTTACCATCCCTGATGTCCGAAGCCCAGGAGGAGCAGTGTTTCTGCCCGCTCCTGTTTTTTTAGATCAATCTCTCCCCCCAGGATCCCTTGTATGCCCCAGTGTGTGTGGCCCTGGTTGCCAGGGCCGTGCACACACGTGCTGCTCAACCCCTCCCCCTGTTACAATGTTTCTGTTGGGAAATTGGCTGACACCTGATGGGAACTCTCATATAGATAATTAAATGCCCCTCTCTTGCTGCCTTTAAGATTCTGTGTTTTGAATTTTTACTTTTCAGTTATGATGCGTCTTGGTGTGGGTCTCTTTGGGTTCATCCTGACTGGGGCTCCTGGACTTGTGCTGACTTTTTCCTTCACCAGGTCCAGGAAAGTTCTCTGTCGTTATTTATTCACAGAGGTTCTCAATCCCTTGCTCACTTCTGTTCTCCTGGGGTATCCTTATGACGCTGATGTTGTTACATTTCATGTTGTCCCAAAGTCCCTTACACCACCCTCACACTTTGTAAGTCTTTTTCCTTTCTGCTTCTCCAATTGAGTGTTTTTTTACCTTGTCTTTCAATTTGCTGATTCGATCCTCTGCTTTATCTAGCCTACTGTTTATTCCTTCCAGTATATTCATTATTTCAGATATGTTATTCTTCATTTCTGACTGGTTACTTTTCATGGTTCCGATGTCCTTTTTCCTGCTGTTGAGCATCCTTATAACCACGACCTTGAACTCTGTATTTGGTAGATTGCTTGCCTCTGTTTCTTTTAGCTCTTTTTCTGGAGATTCATCCTGTTCTTTTATATGGGGTCTGTTTTCTTGTCTCCCATTTTGGCAGTCTCTTTGTATTCATCTCCGTGTATTAGATAGATCTGCTATGACTCCTACTCTCCATGGAGTGGTCTTACGTAGTAGGCGGCCCGTGGAACCCAGTGGTGTGGTCTCCTTGATCTCCCAAGCTGGGCGCCCTAGGAAGCTCCTCGCATGGGTTTTGTGGGCCCGTTTGTCGATCTCTGTTGGCCTCTTGGTGTGTGGGGTCAGCCCTCAGGCTGTGAGGCTCATCCCTGACTGTGGTGTGAGCTGCGGTGCGGGTGGAGTCTGGACACAGTTTCTTCTGCAAGTCCTTGGTTGTAAAACTCCCCTTCAGCCGTCCGTCAGCTGGTCCTTCGGGGAGACTATTCCCCAGGGTAGCTGTGTTTCCACTTGGTTCTGAGGAGGTGAACCTACTCTGCCACCATCTTGAAAAGTCCTGCTGCATATCTTCTGTTAGATTTATTTCTAAGTATTTGGTATTGCTATTATACTTTATTTAAAGTTATTTTCTAACTATTTGTGGGTAGAATCTCTAAATACACTTGACCTTTGTGTATCGACATTTGGCAACCTTGCTAAACTTACACATTTCAACAATTCCACAGTAAATTATGTAGAGTTCCAGGGGTCAGCAAATTATGGCCTGTGGGTGAAAGCCAACCAAAAGCTTGGTTGTACAGGTTCCACCAGCTAAGATTGTTCTTGCATTTTTATAAATTATTGTTTAAAAAGCCAAACAAAACAAAAATACAAAAAATATTGTACAGAAACGGTATATAGCCTACAAAGTGTAAACACTTTAGAAAAGATTCCGCAACTTGCCCTTTACAAAAAAAGTGTTTTCTACTATTCTAAATTTGCATGTTGTATTTCTTTGCTTTTATTGATTACATTAGCTAAAATCTGCAGTATAATGGTGAAGAGAAATGGTGGTAAGCTGGAATTTTAAGTTTTTACCCCCTATTTCAAAGAAGCTATTAACATTTTATAATTAAGTGTGATGTTTATTTTAGGTTTTTCTGTAGTGTTTTTTAATTAGAATAGATAAAAATTCCATTCTTTCCAATCTTTTAAGATATTTTAATCAAAAGAAAAAAAATCAGACCACGCAGAAATTTAACTTGCAATAGTCATAGGCAGTTGACATAGAGGGAGAGAATATCTATACATTAAATTCTCTTAAGAAGTTTCTTAGGCAGCATCCATTTCCTACTTCTAGCACTGTTTCCATATTTTTCACTTCTGGTTGTTGTTTAGCCTGCTACTGCTTTCTCTCATTCACTATCCTCTCCCTTTGGTAATTAAAATTTTTAGAAGTATATTCTTCAAATTAAGATATAAGAACTGTATGAAGCTTGGCTTCAAAAAACACGTGACAAAAGTATGTTGCTAAGTTTGTGACTGTGTCCTACAGTAGAAATGACAAGGAGAAAATGCACTTGTTATTGATTCACTCATGTCAAATTTACTAAACATTTAATTGAGACTTTTGGAAGCCAGCAAAGCTATTTTTACATTTTCATGTTATTCTTTTTGATATCTAGATTAACCAGATCATCCTAAATAGGTTATCTTAGAAAGCTGCTGTAACTTTGAGTCCTGTTTGTTTGGGGCATACAAGTTATTTTTTAGACTCTGCCTTCTCAATCTTCTGAGAGTTTTATTGACAACGCAATCTCTGACACTGCTTGAAACATGCACTAATTTTTTTTGAAAGGCACTTGGTTTCATTTAGTCCCATTTTAGTGCCCCTTTAAAAATTTTAACTGATGACTCTGGAAATTCAGCCAAGAGCATTGTATCAAAAACTTGCTTGAATTTATCCAAAAATTCATAATCAGTGCTGAATCGGAACTTGTTTGCCCAAAGCAACACAGTCCCCGGATGGCAAAGGTACACCATGGTGCCAAGCAGCTTGTCCAGACAGTAATGGTGGTAGACCACATCAGAGGCCAGGACGTAATCGTAATAGAAGGTGGACTTGGGGAAGTTTTGTTCCAGGCCTTCTCCCCACACCAGTTCTCTCACTTCAGGCAGATGTGCTGTGCGCTTTAGTGTGTTCTTTAAAAGGTTGTATTGAAGGTTTCCTAGGACATCAGGCAAATCCGTTGCGGTGACCTGAGCTCCTTAAGACAGAAAGAGAAAAAGGGTAACAATGACTTGGCAACACTGGGGCATTCAGAGTGGACCTACCCTCTCAGGAAGACACAAAAGCACTGGAACTGGGCTTCTCAACCTTGGCCCTGTTAACATACAGGCTGGACGTACTTGACATAATTCCATAGGATAATTCTTTCCGGGGCGCAGGTCGGGGCTGCCCTGTGCTCTGTAAGATGTTGGTGGCTTCTCTGGTCCCCATCCACTAGATGACAGCAGCACCTTCCCACCCAAATTACATTTATCTGAAGGTTTTATTTTTTCTTACGTGAAGTATTCAGCAGTTTTCTTTCCACAAAGGATGATCTATTTTGTATGACTCTCGTCCTTATCTCAGCCCATTAATTAATGCTTAGGCATTTTTAAAGTTAGCGACTATGGTTCATAAAATAGATCATGATATCAGTGTTTAAAAAACTCCAACACTGTGCACAGAAGTAGGACAGATTACTGCCCGGGGCCCAGGAACTCACAGCCCCTACTGTGGGGTAAACCCATGCTCACCTTGGATTAACTCACCTCTTTTTCCTTTCAAAATGTTAGTTACAATATTTGCAATAAAAAGCAGAAGACAGCACAACATAGTTATTTACAACAGGGATCTGGAAGTCGCACCTCCAAAATTTCAATGTCATCACCTGGGAATCGGTGCACCAAGTTCCTTTATCTAAGATGCAGTAATCTTACCTCTGTGGGAGTTCTAGCACGTGACATTTGGGGGAGATTTAATGAGTGAAATCATGGCCAACTACCTAAACCACAGCCTGCGATAAGCTCATCACTGTGGTCACAGTAAAGGTCTCAGGAATAAACAAAGGCACGAACCTAAGATACTGGCCACGATGGAAACAAGGCCTGGTCCAGCACCAATTTCAAGTGTTTTAGCATCTTGAAGATTCAATTCCTCTGCGTGTTCCTCCAAGTACTGACACAAAGCCGTAGCCTAAAAAATATTTACAGTTGTCAGTTGGGCATTAGAACATTGGAAACCAGCAATGGCGCCAATCCCTACCCCAAGTTAAATATTTTAGGACATGTCGTTAATAGTCTCAGTTCATGGAAAGGTTCATCAGAATCAAAATATACATTTAATGATGTATTTAGACCTCTGGACTGTGGAAATCATAATACGCATCACAGAAAACAGTGTTTCACATCCCTGGGTCAGGGGCTCCGGATCAGTCTCCAGGCTCCAGAAGACCAGCTCCTGTTGCAAATCTGGGCAGTGAGGCCTGTGGGACAGCCAAGTCTTGCTCTGGTTTAGTCACACTGGGCCTCTGCCTGCTTTAGGGATGTTGTATAAATGTCTTCCACACCTCTCTCCCAGCTTCTTTCAAAATTCAACTGGGCTAGGACTTTGTCTGCTAACAGTGGACAACTGGGCAGTTATTTTTTTAAGTGGTTTCTCTAAGAAACACTTAGATGCTCAGAACAGCGCTTTCCAAACTTTAGTGCATACACAAATCATTGGGGCCTGGTTTGAGATGCACATCTCCGTGCAGTAGGGCCTGTGGGGGCAGGTGGGGGGACGGTGGTGGGTGGCGGCGGGGCCTGGGGACTACATTTCTAAGAAGCCCCAGGTGACGCCAGGGCTCCTGGTCCCTGGACTATACGCTTTGAGCAGTAGTAGCAAGGAGGTGTTAAAAAACACAAACATGCAAATAAGTCAAGACAGCTTTTTATAAGATAGTCCCTTGGGAAAAGGGTAATATTTTGCAGTGTGGGGGTTTTGATACTAGAAAGACAGGGTCACCTGGGCTATCAAGAGGACATTCGCTTGGAGGTGTTTTCTAGGGGAGGGAAGACCTCTGATACCCCTGCGATGGCTGTCTGTTTGCCAAATATATTACAATAAAAAGCTGTGGAGTAGTTGGTGGTTTTCACACTTGTTAAACCAAAGACAGAGAACAACAATAAAATCACAGACACAGACGACAGCATGATGATTACCAGAGCGGAATGGGGGTGGGAGGGGTCACGGAGGGTATGGGGGGGTAAACAGTGACGGAAGGAGACTTGACTTGGGGTGGTGAACACACAACACAATATACAGATGATGTCTTACAAAACTGTATGTCTGAAAACTATATACTTTTATTTTTTAAGCATACTTTATTGATTATGCTATTACAGTTGTCCCAGTTTTTTTTCACATTATCCCCCCTCTGCCCTGCATCCCCCTCCTCCAGCGTTTCTCACCATCCTTAGTCCATGTCCTTGGGTCGCACATTTAAGTTCTTTGGATCCTCGATTTCCTATACTGTACTTGACCTCCCCGTGCGTGTCTAGTTTGTATCTACCAATTATGCTTCTTATTCCATGTACGTTTTCCCCATTCTGCCTCCTTCCTCTCCCTCCATCTGATCTCCATTCCTGTGATTCTGTCCCTGTTCTAGTTGTTTGCTTAGTTTTGTTTTCATTTTTTAGGTCCAGTTGTTGATAGTTTTGAGTTTGTTGCTATTTTACTATTTCCAGTTTTTGATCTTCTTATATTTCTTAGATAAGTCCCTTTAACATTTCATATAATAAGTTCTTGGTGATGATAAACTCCTTTAACTTGACCTTATTTGGAAAGCACTTTATCTGCCCTTTCATTCTAAATGACAACTTTGCTGGATAGAGTAATCTTGGATGTGGGTCCTTGCCTTTCATGATCTGGAATACTTTCCAGCCCTTTCTTGTCTGTAAGGTTTCTTTTGAGAAATGAATGGATAGTCTTATGGGAACTCCTTTGTAGATAAATTTCTCCTTTCCTCTTGCTGCTTCTAAGATTCTCTCCTTATCTTGAGTAACTTAATTATGATGTGTCTTGGTGTGTTCCTCCTTGGGTCCAATGAATTTTGGGACTCTCTGAGCTTCCTGGACTTCTTAGAAGTTTGTTTTCTTCACAAGATTGAAGACGTTTTCCTTTATTGTTTGTTCAAATAAGTTTTCAATTTCTTGCTCTTCCTCTTTACCTTTTGGCACCCCTGTGATTGGGATGTTGGAGCACTTAAAGTTGTGCCAGAGGTTTCTAAGCCTCTCCTCATTTTTTTGAATTCTTGTTTCTTCCTTTCTTGTTTTGGGTGAATGTTTATTTCTTCCTTTTATTCCAGCTGGTTGATTTGAGTCCCAGTTTTCTTCTCTTCACTGTTGGTTCCCTATATATTTTCATTTATTTCACTTTGTATAGCCTTCATTTCTTCCTTCATTTTGCAACCAAGCTCAGTCAATTCTGTGAGCATCCCGATTACCAGTGTTTTGAACTCTGCAACAGATATTGTCTATCTCCTCATCATGTAGCTCTTTGTCTGGAGCTTTGATCTGTTCCTTCATTTGGGCTGTATTTCTTCGTCTCAGCATACCTGTTTACATTGTAAGGGGTGGAGCCTTCGGTATTTGCCAGGGCAGGGCAACCCACTCAGCTGCACTGTGGCTCTGTTGGTGGGGGAGGGCTCAGAGAGGGAACAATGCCACTCGCTCACTCCACTCTTGTCCCACTTTCTATCACTTTCCTCACTTCCCACAAGTGAATTCTGCCCTCTCAGGTGCTGATTCTCCGGTGGGTGGGTTTGTGGGAACTCTTCTGTGAGACTGGGAGTTTCTCCTGCCTTCACAACCTCACAGGTTTTACAGCCAGAGGTTTTGAGTCTTTGGTTTCCTGGTCAGCCAGCACTTGCCTTGCCCACATGGTCTGCAGCCTTGCCTGTGGGTCCTCTACTGCCCGGGTGCCCGTCTCAGCCCCTCCTACCAGTCTGGATGAATGTTTTAACTCCTTGGTTGTCAGAGTTCCATGTAGTTTTATTTTTTGGCACTTCTGGTGTTTATTGCTTTTAAATTAGTTATTATCCTTCTTTTGGTTGTGCAAGGAAGTGAAGCATTTCTACCTATGTCTTCATCTTGGCCAGAGAACTATGTACTTTTATGAACCAATGTCAACCCAGTAAATTCAATATAAAAAGGGAAAGAAAAATCTTTGTTTGAAAGAAGTCACACCTACATGCATCAGGGGTAAAAATGGAGCTTCCTTGGTTGAGAGGAGTGAGAAGGGCTGAAGCTCTAAGAGTGTGGAGCCCTTTGGTTGCCCCTCCCTCCTCCTGCTCCCCCTTTTAACTTGCCACCAGTACTGCAGATTGCCCCAGGGGCTCTCCATGGGGCCTCTAATTGTGACTGCACACGATAAGACCAGGACCAGCAGGTCTGTATCATCCGGGAGCAGGGGCAGTGCGGAGGCACAGCCCACCACCCCAGTCCTGCCCCAGAGCTCCTGAATCAGAATCTGCATTTTAACAAGACCCCAGTTTGGTTCACGTCTGTGCTGACGACCGAGCTGCTCTGATCTGGAGGCTCCCTCAGGGCAGGCTGAAGACCTGTGCAGTGGAAAGAACAACAGTGCTGGCGTCTGAGGCTGCTGACCCAGCCTGGGTGTGTACCACGCCCCCCAGGCAATAGCTTTACCAGACTGTGAACTTTTCTTCATTAACTTAATAATTCCTTAATATTAATAACATGACATTAACAATTGCAGGCAACGTGAGCTTGGGTACATCACTTCATTGAACCCTCACAACCATCTCAGGAGCTGGACACTCCCCCTGCCCCATGCTTTAAATATGGGAATGAAGGCAAATGGAGGTGAAGTGAACATTCATGACCACTCAGCCAGGAAAGAGCAGGTTTTCTGGCTCTAAATTCAGAGCGTTTCCCCCACTTGGGACCCATCTTCGCAGGGCTGTTGCGGGGAGAACATGAGATGCAGTCATGCCTCCTAAACATTTCTACTATAATATCTACAGTGTGAAAAGGAGATGAGTCCCCAAGGGTCTGTGGGAGTGGCCCCAAAGGACAGGCTGCAAAGCCTAAACTCTCAAGCTGAGATTTTTTTCCTTAATAATTCACATGAAGTTTTCATCCTACTTCCTGATATATTCAAGTTTATGTTCATGTAAAGAAAAATGTTTCGAGAACATAGCACAGAGGACTATCAATGCTAATGCGAGAGATGCTATGTATTTGTGGAGCCCCAGCACACCCCACACCCCTGGAGGTGGGGCAGCAATGGGCCCCCAGTTGGAGAAACACAGAATGTTAAAGTACTTGGTACACCATTCAAGGCCACTCGGGTGGATGAGAGTGTCATTATCGTCCCCAGATATCCCACCATCCCGGGGCAGCGGTTCTCTCACCCCGGGCCACACCACTGCTCCGTAACTCTCTATTGACTCTTGGACCACAATCTTCTTGCCTGCAAACTGGTAATACTCCTGAGTGTAGCTGGCATAATCTGTAGGAATAAATTTCTGGAGGCTCTGAAGAGAAGGCTCTATGTTGTTAAAATCTGTGGGGCAGAAAATAAAATAGGTTACATCATTTGTTGATTCAGTGCAAATATGTACTTAGTACAATTGATAAGATGGAAACACAGTGAGAATTCTTTCAACAGAGGGCCGATGCTATTAATGATGATGGCCACAAACTAGCACAAAACAATGATACGGAATAAAATTCAGGTGTGACATTTTTAACATATGATGAAATGCCAAAGGGTGTCCTGAGTCCTTTCCTCTGTTTAGGAGAGGACGTGAAAGGTGTGGCTCCATCCCCAAGCTCTGTTTTGATGACAGGAGAAAGCCAAATGGCATGAGGAAAATGTCACAGATGGGCTGCCTGTGTAAGGAAGACCTGGGCACACACGGGCCTGACTATTTTTAGGTCTTGAAGTAACATTCCCACATGTTGGCTGCAGTGTGTTCCTTAAATCCTTCCTACATCGGCTCCTCAAAAGGTACATGTTACCCAGAGATGAGCCAGCCCCACAGTCCAGGGGGAGGTTGCCAGATGAGCTCTGACTATTAAGTTACGACTGCTCTAAATACTTCTTTGCTCCCATGACCCACTCTGGCAGCCCTCAAATATCATATAAAATGAGAGGAAAAGAGCACCTGCTTGGAGGAGGATGCAAACAGAGGGCGAAGGGTGGCAGGTCTTTAAAGAAACCTACTCAGGAGTCCGCCCCTGAGAGGCAGGCACGACAGGCTGTTTTGGTTATCACTGATTTCCACATGCACCAGAACAGTTCTGTGCTGCTGGTCTGCAAACTGTAACAGGTTTCCAGGAAGAACAGTACAGAAACTTGAAGTAAGCATTTATAATTGGTACAATTTGATCATGTCTTGAATCTAATTACACGCTTGTATTTTGCACGTCTTTGCATGTATTTTCATTTTGTTCCCCTAGAAATTAATTTTTATTGTTTTTTACCCAAAATAAGTGTCTGTACATAGCAGTATATTGGGAAAAGGTCTTTTCCCACCACGTGAGCAACAAGACTGGTTTGTGAACTAGCGGAACGGATGTCTGCCGGCCTTCAGAGTGTGGCCCTTGGCCACAGGTTCTGACTTAGGGGGTTCCACCCCTGGGAGGAGAATTCTCGGCCTTGAGCAAAAAGGGGAGCTTCCAGAGACCAAAGACTGCACTGAACTTGCTGGAATCTACTAATAAAGAGTGACCAAGTCAGTCCTGAGACGTTGTCCTTTCCTGTCACGTGCCCTGCTTGGGGTGGTGAGGAGGCTGTAGGGGAGGGAAGACCTATGGCCCATGGGAAGCTACAACTAAAAACACCAACCCAATACTTAGGAATGGCCAGAAGGCCCTAGCTGCCCTTGGAGGGCTGGGAGGCTGACTCTGAATTTGGCTTAAGAGACAATTAGAAGGCAGAGGAATAGACCATGGTGCCCGGTAAACATATGACGACCAGTGTGGGGCAGGAGGAGGAAGCACTGATTTGCACGGTTTGACAATGACCATGGTATAAACACTCCCACCCTGGCGATTTCAAACTACCATAAAATGTCACTGGGAAAAGATGTACCGCAGCACACCATGACGGAGTATTTCTGCCACCAGATACACTGGACATCAATGGCCTCAAGAGCGTAGCTAATTGTCAAGTGTACTAAAATAATTCATGATGAGTCATACTTATTACCTTAGTTTTTAATATACCTTTGCCTTTGATATAACCAATTTAATTATAAGTTTATATAACTTAAATTTCAATAGTAGTTGTCTTTAATAACCAACTCACAAAATTCCTGAAATTCGGGAACTAGTACAGGTCAGCTGGTACAAGGAGTTTGGTAAGGGCTGTGCTTTTTCTCAAGGGCTTTCATCACAGAGTGTTTCCCAGGAGCAGCCGGACCATCAGGTACTCACACCAGCTCTTGCAGGCATCTTTCCCCCACCCCGCCCCTGCTACGGCCAGACCGTTCATTCTTCCCTTCCTTCCATATGTCACCAACCAGAGACTCTCAAGACTGTTGGAAAAGTCAGCAGGCTGATTTTGAATGACTCATCACTTCACAGGTTAGTAAGCTAATGTATATACTTTCCCGATCAATAGTGAAACAAAACGTGGGCATATAAATATACTCCCACAAGACCCTTTTGTGTTCTACAAAGATATAGAAATTTACATTTATTGTACATTAAATATTTTCATTTATTGTATCCACGCTAGCTTGATAGTTTTAGAGGGACCATGTTTTAGAGACAAGTAGTGTTGCATTTTTATGTAAACAGTAAAAATAAATAACACCTGAGTTCAGCAGGGTTGGAACATAATTATACCACATTGAATGACTGTAAATGTTACAAATGCTGTCTCTTGGCTTTGATGACATTATTTGTCATGTCTGCTCTTTACTAACTACTGAGCCCCTTTCCAGAAATGCAACCCTGCTGGTTCCGTTGTCCCGATAGGGACATACTTGGCTTTACAAGGTCCCCGAGCGTGACAGAGCTGCCAGGGACACACTTTGGGGAAAGCAGAAACTAAGGTAGACTTCATGCCTCTTTAAAATTCTTGTTACAAAAATACACAATATTTGGTTTATACACAAGATAAAACAAATTTGTGGGTTTTGATAAATAGTAAGGATGCTCACGCTTGCGTGAGGGCATTTTCCTGCTTGGCTTCATTATACAAACAATGTACATGGATGTTAACTAGCCTTACTGTAGAGATAATTTCTCGATATATCCCAACCTCGAATCATTTTGTCATACACCTGAGACTAATGTAATGTTACATGTCAATTATATCTCGGCATCAGTCATTTAAAGATCTAGAGTTAAAGGAAATGCAAATTTTTGTCACAGAAGTTAGCTGGACAATGCCATCACCAGGAAAACAACAGTGAAGGTGTGGAGGTGAGGAAGAAGTTACCTCCTGTGGGTCCGTGGGTGCTGTGTTTCTGGGGAGTCTCTTCTGCCTCGAACCAGCCATCCGGGGAGCCCAGTCCTTCCCTCAGGCGCCCGGGCTGCTGCTTGGAGCTCAGACACACGTCCATAACCGGAGTCGGCTGGAGAGTAGAAAATTGGACAAGACCCGAGTTGTTGGGCCCAGGCCGTCTGAATCTCTCAGAGGGCTCTAAAGGTGCGGCTTATCGCCTTAGCGTCTGCTGAGTGGAAAAGAACGTCTGCTTTCCAGCTCAGTTCCCTGGACGAGCACAGCAGCCACTCATGGAGCTGCCATCCTGGTTGTGCAGAGCAAAGTGGAGGGAGACCATTAAACATGACTGAATGCATTCCGTGCACGGAGATAGGCAGAAACAGAGCAACTGGAGCCAGAGGGAGGCACGATGTTGCCAGGATCTAAAGTGCACTCCTGATAGCTTTGGGAACTGAGTCTTAACACAGAAAATCTGGTCTAGCAATATGGCCACTGGGAGCACCTCGTGGCCTGAAATATCATGGGTGAGTAGCCAGGATTTGGAGCAAATGCAGGGCTGATCCCTTTTCCTCTGAGGCTTTTTTGCAAGACCGTAGAAAGGATGGTGGGGCTAGGAGCCAGGAGCCTGCGTTGGCTACCCGCTCTAACACTTTGCAATTCATTTAACTCCCCCTCACCATTTCCTCGTCAGCAAAAAGGGGATAAGAATACCAGCCTACCTCCCAGGGCTGTGGTGAGAAACAGGAGAGCAAAGCTGATTAGTAAGTACAGCACAGGAAAGGGCTTCCAGATTCAGAAAAGGGGACCTGGCTGCTGGGATCCTGGATCGGTTTCAAAATAATAATATCTGACGTAGCTGCAGGACGTATATTGTTGCCAGGCACACTCTAGTGCTTTACGTGGATTTATTCATCTAATACTCCCAACATACCCCACAAAGTAGATGCTATTATTATGCCTCTCCTCAGATGAGAGAAATTCAGGCCCAGATTAATAAGCAGCCCCAGTGGGTACAGCCGGCTAGTGGCAGAGCCGGGAATCAAACCCAGGTCCAGCCGTGGACTCTGCCTTCCTATACAGGAGGCAGGACACTGTTTGAGTTGGCCCAGGCTCTCCTGGCTTAATTTGCCCCGAAATGATTCATAACGTTTCCCCAACACCCGGACATTTTCTAGTATTTTTTACAGAACGTGAATGGTTTTCCTTGTTTGTGTTTACCATTCTGTGTTTTCCACTCACACACACATTGCCTATCATCGTATTGTTCCAGCCAGTGTTGGACAGCAACTAGCCACACCGGCCACACCGGGACAACTGGTGACCCAGAAACCAGCAGGGACCCGGCTGCTCAGGCGCTGGCCTACTCCAGCGAGCAAACAGAACGTGAGGAAGAGCGCCGGCCGCTGTTGCGAATGCAGTCCCGCCCCACACCTGCAGGAACTGCACGTCCTTCACACTCATATGCCACAGGATTTCAGACAAAGGAGATGGCTGTGAAAGTAGGTTAACGTTTTCACTGGCTCCTGAATCAAATAAGCAAACATTTACCCCAATTCTCCAACTCACCAAAGCAGCTCAGAGGGCTCTGCTGATCTGTGCTTTGCAGAAGAGTTTTCTCTTGAGGATACTGACTAGCTCCTTCCTTTCGACTTTCCCACAATGCCAGGAAATTTCTCCTAAAAGTTAGCAGACTGGTCGCTTGTGAGCCTATAGAGCATCTTTGGTGCAGAAGTCCCAGCGCCGTGGCAAGAAGCCTGCATTTGAACCGTGGCTCTGCCATGCACTGTCTCTGTGGAGAATGGTGACACCCACCTCCCTGTGCTTGTGGGAGTTAAGAGGAGTAATCTGTGCAAAGACTCACACTGCAATGTCTACTCTGACTGCCATCTCCAAAGCTAGAGCAGTCGTGCCATAGAGCTCTCTGGGCCGACCTTCCTCCCAGCACCCTGGAACTCTGATCATTAAATTGGAGACATTTCTTCATGTGCATGCAAGCCAAGGAAAGTTATTTGCCTTGTGAAATGAAGTGACTCCCTCCCCCATCATTATAGTTGACATGAGCAATTTTTTTCTAAAACACGAGAAATGACTTTTTCTAAAAACAGCTGTGCATTGATAAACAATCTTTCTAGAACATAACTATAGCAATCTGCCTAGCATTCATTATTAGTTTGACATATATAAGTAAGATACATATATTTATATAATATACATTATCTTCATAAGATTTATATTATATGTTAGTATTTTAAAAAATTGGGAAGTTTTCAAAATGACTCCTTGTTAATACAAACCCTCGAAATAGTTTCGAACTGTTAGTTTAAGTATACCTTTACCTTATGTAGCAGAAGAGATTTGAGATTTCTGTGTACTCTTTAATCCCCAATGTTTTATATAGATCTGCACCTAAAAGGATTAGCATTTTATGAACAAAAGCCAGCCAGTGGAAGTCCAAGTTATTTAGGGTAGCATTACCCACCAGTACTCAGACACATTGCTTTGCTAGGATTTCCTCTCTCTCTCTCTCTCTCTCTCTCTCTCTCTCTCTCCCTCTCTCTGTCAATCTCTTTCTCTCTCTGGGTCTCTCTTGCTCTCTCTCTTTCAATCTCTCTCTCTTCAAATTTCTTTCTCACACAGGTAAGCACACGATCCTTGCAACATGAAATACAATCACCCTCAAAAGGTCCAGAAAATCACTCCAGCAGAGCAGAGACTGCCCTCAGTGGTATCCTGAGATGTCATTTGGAATGTGGACTTACTTACATTTCACTTTTTTAAAAAGTGGGGGTTGGGTAGTTAGGGGTTTTATGGACCTGCAAACTTTGTGCTCATCAGCCAAACTCCTGTGGCTAAAGGAAGGAGTGTGCCTGCCGTGGACTCTGTCCTGGACCCTGATTCTAGCGTCCAGAAATAATGTAAGACTCTACCAAGAGGGAGCAAAACTTGCGAGGAAGACATGAGAACAATCTCTACATAAAAAGGGACATAAGTAAAGAAAGGCTTAAAGTCCCACAAGGGGCGGTGCTGAGTAAGAAATCAGAAAAATTCTGCTAAGGAAAAAGCAAGCTGTGGTAATTTAATAGAAATAGGGGCAGTTAAAAGGGAAAGAGGAAGAGTGTTTATTCATTTTGGAAGCCTGGAAACCCTTAAAATAGAATATAGGACACGTAATTTAAATCCTCAGGCAAATAGGAATTAAATAATCATTCGCATTTATGAGGGACTATATTTAACCATTGAACTGAATGAATGGTGATTTAGCTTGAGTAGATGTAAGAGCCCATTTTTATTCTTGTTTTTACCCAACAGCGGTACTTTATGTTTGCTTCCTCTAACTCCAGAAGCTCGTGTGGCCGCGCTGTGGCCCTGTGACTACTGGGGCTTCCTTCCCACTCCCTTGAGTGAAGAGAGGTGACTGGGGTCTTTGTCAAATCCATCATTCCAGTGCTTTTATTGTTCCCCAAAAGGTTTACTTCTATGATCACGTCCTGCACTTCTGTAACTTATTTCTACCAGCTGTAGCAAAAGGTGGTCATCATTACAACTTTTTAATTTTTGAAAACTAATTGCAGTGTATATGAATATATGTATATACATTCACACACACACATTCATCCTGTGAGCTTTAAAAATGAAGAAAAGCACAAAGAAGAAATTTTTTAAATCTTAAATCCCACTGTCTGGAGAAGTAAGCCTGACATTTTCTAGCATCAACTTTTAAGCTTTTTATGGTTTAAACTTAATAAAAAGCTATTTTACTAAAAATAAAACTGGAAACATGTACCTCTTTAAACCTAGAGTGTACTATTCTATTATTTTAAGAGTTTCTTTGTAATACATTCTTCAAAAGCCATCTTTCAGGCATCTGCTTAAGAAACAAATCAGAGCTCTATTGCCTGGAACTGGCAGAGGTCAGGTCTGAGGTCCCTAAACACTGGACTGTGATGCATCACATCAGAACCACCTGGAAAGCTCTAAACTGCAGACTCTACGCCCCTAGAACTTCCTGTTCAAAGGCCTGAGGAAGAGCTTAGACGTTTGAACTCACAGTCCGACCGCTGTTGCCTGTGTGTCTGCAGCACTTGGCACACAGTCAGTGTGGATCTATAGGGCAGGGATGCGGGAGTTGTGTTCAGATAGCTGAGGCGCCATCCACGCGGAGGGATTAGGCCTTCTGCACGGCCCCGGAGAGCATGCTAATGAAGTAAGTTTCCAGCAAACAGAATTGGGCTCAGCAGGAAAGAACTTTCTAACAAGCAGAGCGATGGAACAGTTGATCTCAGGGAGCCTAGCCTAATGGAAAGTGGGCCAGATTTGAAGTCAGAACACGAACGACTGGATCAAGGCTTTATGCAAGGTCAGTAAATAAGCTACGTGCGTGGGTCACAGGCTCTGCCTCCCCCATCAGTGTAGACCTCTGACCTGTCCCTGGGCTTTTCCCAGCTGAACACGGCCAGTGGTTCTCCACATGGAGGAGCCCTCCCCTTCTCCCAGGGATATTGGCAATTCAGAGATGTTTCTGCTTCTCACAAGTCGGGTGGTGTGCTACTGGCATCTAGTGCATGGAGACCAGGGATGCTGCTGAACAGTTCACGCTATATGCGACAGCGCCCACGACAAAGAACTATCTGACTCAGAATGTCAGCAGTGCCGAGGTTGAGAAACCCTGGTGTAGGCAATGAATCCAAGTTGTCACGCAGCGGGAATTCTAATCGCCAGCTGCTTGTACCATCTACTAGCCAGCTGAGTCCTGCCTCCTCTGTCTCAGTGTCCTCATCTATAAATGGGGTGGAGTAGTATTTCCAGAGTGTCTGATGCACACCAGGTTCGGAGCGCCATCCTCCCATAGATCCGGCATGGCACCCCGCGCTTCATCCGCTTTCTCCCAGGAAAGCAACCAGAGACAGGATTTGAGAGAAATGTTTTACTTGGGGCGTGAGGAAGGAAAAATAATCAAGGTTAAGTGTGTAAGTCAGCAAAGAGCGTTCTGTGAGGCCAGGGGGAAATAGAAACGTAAACCCATGGGGAAAGGCTGGGAAATGAGGCAAGCCATACACTTCAGAACCATTTCATACCAGGTGCAGAGGGCTCCTGGGCTATTTCTACACAACCATCTCGGCGCAGGT